CCCAAAGACTTCATAGAACCCTCGTCCATTCCGTGAATTTTCTCATTGTAAAGAGGTTGGCTGCTGGGCCACCTATAATTTCACATTTTTATTTCATGAAATAAGAACGTCAAGTGTTGTGATATAATTTGTTTTTTTCCCGATAGGCTGTTTGCAGGAGTACTACAATTGAATTACGCTAACTTAAACAAAAACTATTTTGCTACATTTTGTCCGGCTTTGATTTTTTTTCCCAAAATGGCGATGGAATGAAGAAACATAACAGAAGAGCTGCAATTACTTTTAAATCCAAGTCTGGATGTATTGACGTACAAAGATCGGGTGATATTTCATGCAAGGTTAGAATCAAAGCCAGTTCCTTGGGCTTCATGACCTATTCCACTAATTATGATCCGTGTTAACTACCCATCGCCTTTCTTCATTCATTTCTAAAGTATATCCTTCTGTCCTTTTCTCTATAACTTTCTTTTCAAACTTTTCCTTGTAATAGATCAGCTTCCCTTTCAATGCATCATCCAACATGTTCCTGAATAATAAACTACCTTCTTGCAGTTTCTCGTTCGCAAAGATACATAGACGTGAAATGCGTCGGGCGTTAAAAGGAATGTTCTATATGAAACTGGCTCAACATGAAAAGACTATCTTACGATCACGGGATTAATGAAACTGTCTGAAAGCCAAGAGGGACAGAGGGAGGGACGTAGGAGTCGAACTAGCATATTTCAGTAAATATGAATTTCAATTTACCAATGCTCAAAATTTTCCATGATTAAAGGAGAACTTTATTTTTCAGTTAGAATCCTTCCAAACTGGGGACATCCTAAAGGGCTTTACCGACGGTTAAAAATGTTTGAAATTACACTAACTGCTGTAATGTAGGGAATTGCAGCAGCCAAACTCTAGATGACAACCGGGTAATCGGTTTCAATGCTAGTGTTTAAGAGATGCAAGATAATCCCATTATGTTTGGCAAAGTAATGCGAACACGCGAGAAAAATTCCATTGCTCTGAAAACCGCTCATGACGCGCAAGTAGCATTTCTCTCTCTATAGTAAGAACAATTTTAACCAGACTGCGACATTGTTTCTTCTCTTTGGGAATTGCATTGCCAATATTCCACCGATTAATTTCTTCCTACTTCTGAGGCTACAGCAATCCAATCGTTCAGATAATTGCAGTATCCTCTCATTCGTTTTAGTCAACGTCAATCGTTAACAATGACATATGAGATACAAAGGTTATACACCAGATTTAGCGATTGTTAAAATACGTTTATATTCCTTTCAAGTCCATTTTAAATCTCTTGTCATCTATTCCAAGCGCGTTTTACAACAACAGTTGGGAAAAGCTAATACATCCTTGAATGTAAATTGCATTCATCCTTTTTTTTACTGACATTGTGGAAATTTCCGAGAACGAAGATTCATAAAGTAATTGAACATGAAATCAAATAATTAAAACTCAACCAGCTTTCGAACTGCTTCAATTACAACTCGTTTTAGTTCAGCGCCGTACTCTTTTATTAGAACGTTAAACGTTTATGGAAAAATAATTTTCGAATACTCCGCTGTAAACACTGGTGAAACATCTGAGTACATTTTATCGATCAATAATTTCAAAAGAACCTAATATTGACATTCGAACTTTAAAACAATTGTGCAGGCAAATATCTTGTGTGGATTTCAAGCACTGAAAGCTAAAATTCAAGAAAAATGTTGGTCATTGTAAATAAAAGCACATAATCCACTCAATTAGCGCTACAACGTCTCATCCAGAGAAGCATCAGATTAACTCCACGGTTCAGTTATTTCTACGTCTTTGATCCGACACTTGGGCAGGACCTTCTATTCAGTACAAACGTTATTCTGTGAATGTTCTTAAAAATTGAAAAATATTTTGGGTCTTTTTTACATATTTTTGTTTTTAATTTCAAAGATGAGATCAATATGACTATCGAATTAAAAGTAATTATTTGGCAGTTGAACTATTAGATACCAGGTATTAAATGAAAACCTGAAATTGTGGAGCAATAATTTTTGGAGAATAACATGCCACTTCATCTGGCACATTTCCCCGGATCTTTCCCTTCGTATTTTCTCAATATTTGCATCCTTGATGATCAATAGCACCGTTCCAGTACAAATATTCTTCCTTTTTTATTGACTGTACCAATTTGTTTCCCCGTCTCTTGATTTTAAAGACCATGCTGGAATGGCCCATAACTTCGTCTTCAAAACTGGCACGCCGCGTATTTCCAGCATTTGTTCCAAGCATAGATAGTGTTTTACTCATATCGCTTCCATTGCTCATAACATCATCACACGGCTGATTAAGAAGTTGTAGTTAGATACGTCAATGTTTCGGAAAGTGAAATGTGGGATGTGATGACTAGATGCAAGTTAACCAGCATGAGGCTCAATGGCCCAATGGTCTGCCTCCCTGCTGGACTGACTTCTTCCTCTATCTGAAATCAGTGAACCTTACAGTTTCCTCCTTTGTAATACAATATTTTCAACGCCTTCAAAACGACAAGGTACCTCGGATAAACAACGTCATGTTGTACATCAGGCCAGGGAATTAGAAATGGTGTACATTCAAGCCACTGAATTTAACCCTCCTACATTTGAGACAATATACTGGATAAGGTGTGCATATGGAGAGCATCATATCTTCTATAGGAGGGTCACACCGAAGTCAATTGATATAAAAGGCAGTTGAGACAATTGTTCTTTGGCATGCTGTGATAAATGTATACCATTTGTTTTACAGATTCCCACAACGCGTTTGAAGACTTGAAATCAGCGTAGTCTTATCTTGTTCTAGATGTGAAACATGGACATTATTCAGTGAGTTTGCTACTCATTGTTAAATATAATCTCAAATGTATTGGAATCCTATAAACAGCCACTGATGCGATGGGCTGTTCTTTCTTTAGATACTTTGAGATGTGCTTTTGTCAGGGCACCTTGCTGTTTAAGAATCGTGCCAATAATAATCACCTTTCGCTTTTGTTTTCTGGGAAGTTTTATTTGGCGCAGATGTTAACTTAGGCCATACGCCTTGTTGCTTCGCTCTTTTTGTATTTTTTAAACAATCTTCCATAAATCCCCGTCAAGTGAGGCTTTTATAATCACAGACAATACAATTGTCGCCATTTCTTCAACGTTGGTGAGATTAGGCGGCACAGCTACAGACAATGATATAGTAATGTTCTCAAAGGAGTAGCAATAAGGTCAGCCAGTCAGTATAGATGCTCTAATCAGCCCATTTAGTGTATCGATGAGCAGCGATCGAGGTTTGCTGAAACATATGCGGAACTCTGTGAAGATCAGAAACATAAGCTGGAAAATCTCGGCAGGGTCTGGCTACATCTGTGAAGAGAGGAATCAGGGTTTTAACGTTTCAGGTCCAGTGACCCTTCTTCACAACTGTTCTGAAGAAGGGTCACTAGACCCGAAACGTTAACTCTAATTTCTCTCCACCGATGCTGCCAGACCTGCTGAGATTTTCCAGCAATTTCTGAGTTTGTTTCAGATTTCCAGCATCCGCTGTTCTTTCAGCATTTTTTTCAGCCGTGAAGATCAGTCTCGGCACGAAGCAAACTGAACGAGTGATCGCTTCTTGGATTTCACATGATGATCTCGCATTTTGTGGCATCAAATTCTAATATCACGACGTTTGGAAATACTAAACAAGTAAAACTGTAAACGCGACAACTCCTCTCACGAACTTTCAGAAATTACAAGAGCATTTGACTATGCCAATAGTTAAGTGTGATTCAATGACCAAGATAAGAATATTGACACCACTGCAAGACGGAAACTAAGGGAAGCTATAAAGCAGTTGGAGTTGGTTAAGTATAACTTTTAATGTCATATGTCTGTTCTATATTATTAACAGTACTCATGTTTCTGATAACAATCATGCATTGCGTATAAAATGTCTTAACACACTAATATTTCACAATAAAACCTGAAGTCATGAATAAGACTGAGAACTTTTCGGACAAATATCCGCTGCTTTGATTAAATCTACAGCAGTGTATAAGTCACCTCAAGAAGAACAAACAAATGCGTGTGATGTTATCTTTTCGGCCTTTAAGTGCAAAGTACAGTTTCGGCCATACTGCATTAAACAATCAGAGTGCTGCATAGATGAAGCTTAGCTTTCTTTTCAGATTAGCAACTTGTAAAGCTAAAAAGAAATATTGTTCCACGTTATTGCATCACATGAGGATAAATGTTTATCGTGTCTTGTGGACGAGACCGTAACTCATTCGAATTGCTGCGAGAATATGCGATTTTTATATGCAAACGATTAAATAAAAGATACACTGTGAAATAAAATGAAGCCAATCAGCGTTCCTGACGGTTCTGCAACAGCTCGATATTAAGTCAAATGATATGTGATGATGAATGATGAGTTGATTCAAACACAAGTTTGCTTGCTTTTCAAGGATTTGAACAGCGTTTATTGCAATATTTTTTTCCTCCGATAATATAAATGTGGTTAGCTACATCGACTTAAAATAATAAAATCAAGAACGCCCAGGAAATAATATTCATATGTACTAAAATCCCAGTGAGCATTTTGAATTTGCTCTGCAGTCCTCTCCGCCCGTTCTAACCTAACAGTAAAAAAATCTAATGTTTAACACATCAATATATTGTAAAAGCAAAGGAGACTTTACAGAAATTACCTATAAAGTTATTCTTTTATATATTAGTGGTCCATGGGCATGGTGGGTTGTTTTATGACGTGGTCACAGCTGTGAATGCGGAAATTCATGACTGCAATCATTTCTTTGGATGTAAAGGAGCACAAATTTCCTGTCCGGCTCTGCAGCCACAGCGCCCCAGAGCAAATTATTGCACATTTGCACCAACTAAAAGTGTTAGAGAAAAAACATAAGCGTTGAAGTTAAACCAAAGGCGTTTCGTTTCATTTCTCTCTAGGTGTCACTTACACCTTCCATGTACCATCTGGTCGAAGGGTCTGACCTAGACAAGCCCACTCATTTGTGACCTTAGGAAAGGCATGGAAGAAGGGAATGATGTAAGAGGATAGTTTGCAGAGCCTGAGAAGCTGACCAGAGGAGGGGATACTTGCGGCAGGCTGAAACTTAAGGCGCCGGGTGATGTGCTTTCGTGATACAAAATGGGGACTCTGACAATCCTCTGTGCACTCTGAGAAAGGTTAACCGCTTCCAGGTCTGCGGCCAACTGCCTTTTCCATTTGTTTCTCCGATTTTGAAACCAGATTTTGACCTGAGTCTCGGTCAGGTGAAGGGAAGCGGCCAGACCCGCTCTCTCGGAGCTGCTCAGGTAGCGCTTCATGTCAAACGTGGACTCCAGCTGGAAAACCTGACTCCTGCTAAAAACGGTGCGCGTTTTCTTTTTGCGGCTGGATTTCTGGTCAGAGTCCGTCTGGCTTTTGGCAGCCGGGTTGCTGTCTGCCTCTGACCTCTTCACGTCCAGTAGCTCGCCTTCCTCTTGGCTGCAGATGTCCTTGCGGCTGTCCCCTTTGTCCGAAACTGGCGGGGAGTCTAGGTCACTGGCCGGGAGGAAAAAACATTGCTCTTCCTCGGAACTAGGACTTTCTCGTTTCGGACCTGTGAGCGCAAATAGAAATGGCGGTTACAGGTCAGCTCTTGGTTACTTCACAGGTTAAAGCGAATGTATTAAACAAAGGATAAAGTCTGCTAGTATTGTTACTGCTTACAAGCGTGTGAAATGATTGTGTGTTGCTTAACCTATTCGCCTGAATATTACAAATTATATAAGCCGGGGGAATCGCTTGAGTTTTCAGCTCTGTCGGATAAACGCATGAAAATCGCCTTTATTTCGCTCATCATTCCTGGGCAGCCGTCTATAAAATCGAGGGGCTAGCATGTACCTGGCGTTTATTGCTTAAGAGCGGTTGAGAAATGATTTGTAGGTTGTAAGTAATGCCATGTCAAAAAACATTGGTGGAGGGGGGGCGGCAGGAAGAGGTTGGAGACATTGAACACAACACACGGAGAAAATGCAACAATGTTAGAAAGGTCGCTAATGCGGATTTTCCGCAGCTAACCCAGGAGCTAGGACTATCGACAGTGATATATTCGCAACAAACAGCGGGGAGAGGGCGGAGTGTTTATTTCCTAATTTCTTATTTTAACCTTAACTCTGAAGTGTTTATTTTTTTTTAATCATAAAACCTCATTCTCGTAGTCGGGCTCATTTACTTGAGAGCAGGGCAAGTGTTGAGAGCTAATCCATGCTTCCCTGCAACGTTTGGCCTTAGTTGACCGTCACCATTAATTAGGAGGCGGAATCAGACTACAATGATTTATTTTAAAGCCAGGTTCAGCCTCACCACTCACAAATCCGAGAGTGGCGATATACTGAAGTGCCAATGGAAAGCCCCCAACTTAGCTGCCCAGCAGCGGAACACCGCTGATGGGCTGTTATTGACCACAGACAGCGGAAAACTCCTGGTTTTAAAGCGTGAAGTAGTGGCATTGGTGTCAGGAGAGGGGGGGGTGGGGTTGGAAGCATTGGTGGGGGGGAGTGGGAAGGTGGGTTAACTGACTGTTAGAGTCGGTGCTGTTCAGGGTCAGCGGCAAGACGAGAGTGAACTTACTGTTTGGACTGGCACATCCCGCACATCTGGGCTGTGTTTGCGTATACCACTGCAGCATGCTTTCCCTGAGCGGAGAGTTGTGTGTACATAGAGCCAGGCTGCAGAGCTGACAGCAGAACTGCCCGCAATGGTTCCCCGCAGTCCCATGATGGTAAAAGCCGGCTCTGGTAGCAGCCCTCTGCGATGTCTCCTCCTTGCTGTCTTCCTGCTTCCCTTTGCCGTTACTCCGCAGCAGGTTCTCGATGAAAAATGAAGAAACCTTGACAGGAGCTGTGCCCTGGGCCCCAGTCACTTTGTCCGGCATGGTATCCCTCAGCGTTGTATGGGCTGCGAGGAGTATCTCTCTGCTCAACCCCAGAAAGCGGCCCTGTCGGTTCAATCACCTTTCTTCCGGCGACAGACTGATTCCCCGACAGCTCATAGCAACGGGCAGCTAAAAATGTAAACTTCCCGATCAGCTCTCCCACTCCTCGCAGCACAGACACCAACACATCGTCCACTCGGCGCCAGTCAGTGAAGAGAAACTGGGGGGGGTGGGGGGGAGAGGGGTGTGCGGGGGGAGGGGGGGTGTGGCGGGGGAGGTGTTGTGTGTGGGGGTGTGGGGGAAGGGAGAATGATGAAATTCAAAAGTCAGGCAAGTTAAATGCCTAACATGCGAGGAGTACACTACGGATTGGACGGGCACAATGGCAAATGGGATTACTGAACAAAATGAGAGAATTGCTGGCAATGAGTTCGCTTGCTCTGTTTCATCCCGTGTGCCTGCGGCTACAGGGGCTTGCCAGTCAGTGGTTTTATCTAGGTCAATTAGGGAACAAATCACAAATCAGAATCCGGATCTAGGTCCTGCATTCCACACACTGAGAGAGAGAGTGTGTTTGAAGGGGGAGGGGTTTTTTGGGGGGCCGTGGGGGTGTGCAAACCTGATAAGAGCGGCCTATTGGCTGACAGGAGGAATTTACTTCCTGTAGGTCCCTTCGCGCTTACACACATACACACAAAATGGTCCTCTGTCATACAGCACTGGGTTACAGAGGGTTGAACACTCTCTGAGATGCAATTTGCCGACCTTGTCCTGTGCCCATTGCAAACGCTACCCATTCTGTGCTAAGACGAAAAGTAAGATGCTCTGTCTGCCTTTTGATTCATTTGCCTTGTCCGTAAATTTTAATGATGATGCTCGTGGACGAATACTGCACAGTATTTTCAAAAGGGTCGTTTTTTTTTCCACAGTTGGTTAATACTCGGCGCTTCTGAATAAGAATTGGTTGTTGTTGTCTATTCGAAATCTCCATTATCCCAGTAAAATTAAATGTGATGTTGTGGCTTTGCCCGGCGGCGAACATTTCACAAAAAAGGCCGTCTTTCTTCCGAGTCGCTGTGTCGTTAAAAAAGTGTTGAATGAAGCGTATCCACATTGTCTGTTCAGCAGCGCCATCCAATTTAAACCATGTGCTGAATTTATGGAGGGATAATTGCTCATCCTTGCATAACGTGAATTGAACTTGACTGTACAGTTACTGTGAAGTCGCCTCTTAGTCCGTAATCGGTTTTAAACTCCCTCTGATTGTTATTGTCTTGTAGTTTTAAGCCTGATCGTGTTCGGTTCAAAGGACGACCAGTTACTGCAAATGTCAGCTTAACTCGGCGTCTTTTTGTTTTATTTGTCCAGGTCCAATTCAATTTGATTTCCAAAACTAGACATGAGCCTTTTTTTTATAGGTGAGTGACTTCTATTAAAACATTGAACCAGAACAAAGAGGTATAACTGGTCTTCAATCATAATCGCTCATGATGTCGCCGACATTGCCAGTTTATATAAACAAAAGTCAAAGGAGATCCAACGTGGGAATATGATTGCTAGGGAGCTTCTTAGTGGTTTGGTTTCTAAAACCTTGTGTCCATAACACTTCTGATCTGACAATAACACAACTGGTATAACTTGAACAGAGTGGGTTTAGCGGAGAAACTGGGGTGTTTCGTGTGAATGATCACTTGACTATATCAAGGAGCACAAACGTAATCATAGTCAGCTCATAACACCCATACACTCAAAAAATATCTACTGGGACTTCCAAGAGTTTGCATGCTGTCCGTTCTTTGTGTGCTTTGCTGTATTGTCTCTGCGAAAAATTAGTCAGTTCTTCATGTTTTAACTTCACGTGGGGCTTGCAATGTACCCATTCTACCTTTAGAAATCCAAGTGGCTCATTTGAATCACCAAACTGCTTGTAAGCGAAAGGAGCCAGCAAAATGGCCCAACATATAAATACGCTATTTGGCTTATCATAAGAAATAAACAGCATTTCAAAAATCGCTTACTTCGTTAGAATAGAACTTGTGCAAATTTAAAGAGTTGACGATTAGAAGTATTTTAATGCTGAACTGCATTTGTTTCAAAACGCAGTATAAATGAAACTTAAAAAGTAGGTTCTGGTTAATGAAGCTTCTAGGCGTTTAAGATAAATATCGGATAGCGAAAATCGTTCCTGACCTATTGCGAGATTTAGTGGGATGCTCGCAGGTTCAACAGTCGGGATTCTTATTTAATGTCATTGTTAGCTATAGATGTCAGTAAAGACAAACTGAGATATTTTAATATTAAAATACACGATGTTTGTAGTGTAAATAAATAACAGCTGTAACACGAGTTCATATCTTCAGAGCGTACTTTTCCAAAAAAAAGGAAACCTATTTTTTTTCCACATTGATCAAAGTATTGGGATATATTGCGCGAAAATAGGGTCAATGTAATATTAAACCCAAATGCTGTCCACCGTTTGAGGACAGAATCCCGCTCAGTGATGGCTTCTAAAGTCACTTTCGAACTGGTCACTGACTAATGTAAGTGGGTTTCTGAAATGTTCCAGCCAGGAAGGTTCTATTTTGTCAACAATGCTGCCAGATTACAGTGTCATAGAACCAACGGCTTGCAAATCGATATAATATGTTCATTTGAACATGAACAAATTAAAGCTCAACCTGGCGCTGTAAATCCGTTCATAGTCTTGTGGTCTATGGGTCCTCTGGACTGAGACAACAGTTGTCTTGTATATCACATTGAAATAATAGCTACTGGATAAGTTATTTGTAGGCCAACGCGCAAGCCATTTCTTTCCAAAGCAGTGGTAATGTGGCAGACTTATATTTCACTTCGTTTTATTTTTAACTGATGAGGCTTAAATGTTATTTCATAACCTTGACATCACCTGAACATATAATCCAGGCATTCGTATTTAGAAATCAAATCAAATTCTCCTAACTGTTTTTAGTTATTTCCAGAGTTGGATGGTTGTCATAAACCGGAGCAACTTTTTCGGCCGGCCGACCGCTAATACTAAATATTCATCTGTGCACCTTTAAAAGGCCCGCGTTAACCTTGAAACACGTATCATTTCATTCGAAATGCTTGAAGATATTTTATCTGAAATGTATACTCGATATGGATTTGGCAAAGACATTCACTGTTTAAATAGTAACAGATTATGTTTTGATTTTTAGCTTGATTGGTGTTTCTTCATCAGCTGAGAGACTGAAATCAGTGTTTTGTATCCACACATGGCTGGATAATTGGCTCTTCGAGGTAAACACAGCATTTGTGATATCGTTTTATTTTATTAATGCGTAATAGTTGCATTGACTGATTTGAACAATACACACAAAATACATGACACAACTCACCAAATAAAACTATCCGCAATTGAACCGAGTAAGAAGGTTAAAAGTTCACTTGGTGGCATGTTGTGGAGATCGATCAGCACTTATTCTGCAATCCTGCGATGAAATATATGTTCAGGTCAGCTCATTTCAAACTGAGTAAACACACGGGATGTGAAGTTATGATGTCGCTTCTGAGATGCACACACCTATGTGAGCTGGCTGGGTCTCTTGATGTGGATTCCTTTTTTTTAGTTCTGGACAGTTCTTTTGTTTTTGATAGTGATTTTCTCTACTTTGAGGAGCTGAACGGTAACCGCGCCAAGAGTGCATCACCCCTTTTTTTCTCAGGAAATTATTCTAATTCACACTTCTCATGGTAACGCAATCATAAAGAGTCTTCGAATACATTAATTTTATTCCAAGGAGTGGGAACTTTCCAATTGTAACTGAATAACTTTGGGAAAACGGTGTTGAACAACTTGCACAGGCACCATCAACACATCAGAACTCTTTGGTAAAAAGAGTGTGATCGTAAATTCAGCTCAGTGACGAAATTGTCCGACCAAGTATTTGCATTTATTTTAGATAATTTGTAATGTTACGTCGATTTTGATTTAACTATTCTGGATGTCCTAAATTGGCTGGGATTTTTGTAACACTAGAATCGAACTTTCTCTGATTGCAATATATATTTGTTAGAGAAAACGGAGTTTGACCCTTTGACTATATGTCACAACTCAATCCATAGTAAATTAGGTGTTGATATGTTTTATGTTTTTCTGAAACTTAACTCCATTAACTCGGCAAGAGCCACTGAGAGTCCTGAGAGAATTCCAGAGCCTTCTGTAAATCTCACCGCGTAATTGTGCAATGCTGCCACACACGTTTCAATACGTCTCAGGTACATGTAACCGAATTATTGGTTCAGACTGTAGTCGTGGTCTTTTATCTTTCCAGTGAAATTCCTTGCATCATTTTTTTCGACGGTATGCAATCCCTTTGGCCTTTTTAACAGGGAGGAAAGAGTAGAAGGAAAATAACTTTCCACAAAATAAGAGTCGCCTACAGCCTTTATTTACTGCCATTTCATTTTAATTATAATGTATCAGTGAGCTTACGAATCTCTGCATCTTTGCAGTAGCACAACTTCTTTCCGAGCAATGATGTTGAATCCTGCATGCATTAAGTCAGTAATACTGCATGGTACAATATTAGTTGCAGACAGCAGCAAGATAATAGAGCAGAACGTAGACCGTTGGGTTTGTTCTGCTTTTCTGCAAATTTGGACAACTGATGTTAAATCATTTTCTTCACAGTGGAGTGGATTAAGTCCTATCTTCCGACAAGTTCATCATCTTGAACGTTCAAGAATGCAACTTATCATTCGTTCTTCTCGGTTCAGTGCTACTTTCAAAAGTCCCGATATTTCTTTCATGCCCATAGTTTCCAATGTGTATCATGCTTATCCACCCTCACTTATTATTTATAACAAGTATCAATTGTTCAGCATTTTGTCGCCAGTACCCCTGAAAGCTCCACTTTATTAGGTTCACTGACCTATTCTCCCCTTACAATTTAATGCTCCATTTAAACGCGTGGCAAAGTTAAGCGTTATACATTTGTTTGTTCAGCCTTCACCTGTCC